AATTTTTCTTTCTCTCCTTTATTTTAACTGGTGGGATACTGTGTAGGGGTACCAGTGTAGCTGGTTTTTTTTTTTTTTTTGGGGGGAAAGGGGGAGGAGGCAGGGGGAAGTGGTTTTTCAAAGTATAGTTTTTGAATTAAAAAAATCCCAAACAACCTCAAGAGCACCAAACAAATTTATTGGCCAGATACAGCCTATCAACCACTTCAACCAGCACAGGTCATTCTAGCTTCAGGTAACTAGTGGATCTGTACCCCTTTATCACTGCCTTAAGGGTCCAGCAGCCACAAACTGAACTTAAGGCTGAAACTGAATTTTCCAGATACACTTCTACGTTTTCCGTCCCATGCCTAAAAGCTTTGCTTCTTAACTCCTATAAGTCCTAATAACAAGGTGCCGTTCCACATAAACAGGTTGCCATTGCTTATTAATAACAGCTGTTCTGGAAGATAGGTAATCCTATCACCTTTGGGCAGAATTAAATGTTGTCATAACTGAGATGCTATCATGCTATCTGTGCTTTCTGCTCCCTGTTAAAAAAATACCTTTACAGCTAAAGCAGTAGCCATACCAGTGGGAAATTTGGAAAGTAAGACTTGCCACCTATTCAGTCAAATGTTTCGTTGCATATTCCTAACAGTACCATTGTCTTTATTTTCAACATTATACCATTGCTAAAAAAGAAGCTGAAGAGATAAATTCTGTTTCAGGGTTTCCTTATCCACCTCTTGGCACATCAATGCCAAAAGCTGTCTCTGAAAGGCAGGGACCAGCCAAGGGAATCAAGAGCATTTGCCAGATCATTCACTTAACTAGGAATTTCTTAGAGGTGAGTTAGATGCTGGAACTCTTGAGTCACTCACATATGTTACCCAACTGGAAATCAAAGTAACAAAGCTGTAGAAGACAATAGCTGCCTCTTTCACAAAGGACCACACTGCAACCTTACGGATTACGTGCCCTTTAACTGGAAACAGTTAGCAAACAAATAACAAAGGAAACCTTACTTCCCAACACCACCAACAGATACAGTTTAAAGATCTACTGAGGAGAGAGGTTACCTCTGGAAAGTACAACACCAGATTTTCAGTTTGGTTCACATTCAACTAAGTCAACAAGTTTCACAGGAAGAAAAAACAAACAAACAAACTTACGTTATCAGCTCGAACTCCCCACCAAGCCAGTTTCTAAGTTTTACCACCAGGTCCCCCATCCTCCCAGTACAGCAAGATAAGGAAATAATGAATTCATTGCAGCTGGCCTGATGAGCCTTGTAATTAGGACATGCAGTGTGGTCTTTCGGCTTCTGGAGAGCACTAACCCTTTCACTGCCAAATCCTTTCTATCCTGTTATAGCTCAAAATGAGACTTCATTTGAGAGGTATTATTTGTTGTCTGCTTTTTAAAGAAATAGGTTGGCTTTACTAGTGGTGCCCTGTGAACACAAAGTCGTTGCTTTTGGTGGATTTCATCAGAGGAGCAGTCTCCCTGCCACCTCCCAGATGTGTACCAATACACTTGAGACCAGAATGAGTCAGGACGCATTTCCCTCTTCCTCTCTATTTTCCTTTCTACTGTCATCTGTCTGAGACCATCAACATTCTCCCTGTCACTCTGATCATCCCCGGACATTCCCTTTGAGTGTGAAGCTAATTCAAAGTTTTTGTTCAAAACCTTTCTTAAAAATCCCCTTTGCAGCAATGCAAACACTTAGTAAGGGTTGAATTGCTGATTTGCTCAATTAAGTCCCCAGACAAAAAAAAAAAGCAATATCTCAGCAATATTCATTCACCCCTTGTCTTCTACGAAGGCAAAATGGACTAAATTACCATTTGCTTTCATCACATCCATTACATGTTCCCGGGCTTTCGCTATTTGATTCCAGGGGCCGGGATGAACTTTCCCACCACCACCCTTATTATATAACTTGGCTTTTTGGAATGGTTTTTTTCCTCATCTCCTCCTGAAGAACTAGAGGTTTCCACAGCTAGCAACAGGATGTAGCACCCTTTGGGCTGGTGCTCTTTACAGCATCTTTCAAGTGCCAGATTGATGTGTTTTTCACATTGACTCGGAGTTAAGCTGATTTAAGACCATTTTCCAGGTCAGTTTGGCAGGAACTGCTGAAGCGGTTTGCCTGACTCTATACCAGGAGGGATGGGCTGCATCTTGGGATTGTCTAGGAATTTTTCTTAATGAATTCATTGTTCTTTGAAGCACCAGTGATGTCGGCAATGTCTGTCTTCTCCTTTACTGTCATCTTCTGGCATGTTATATTTGTGTCTTCTCCTTTTTTAACACTGGGCCTCAAGATGATGATAGGGAAGTGTTTCACGGTGGCTTGTGTAGACTGGCTGTTTTGGCGTGTCCAGCTTTGGCACGTATCACACAAATGCCCTGCCAGCTGAACTAGGTGGTCACTTTCAGAGCCATGTGTCACGCTTCGGCCACAAAGCCATTGGTGGCTGCTAAGATTATGATTTAGTGTCAGTACAGCCTGTAGTCTGATGGGATCCTGGCCTTTGACAGGGCTTCTGGCTGCCATGGTTGAAACAAACAAAAATTTGTGAAGGTTTGCTGACAGAGTGGGCAAAACTGTGGTCATTGCAATCCTTATGTTTCCATCTTGACCTGAAATATGCCAAGAAGGGTTGGCGGGGGAGTGGATTACCTGATATCTCATCGTGGTGCCAGATTGCTCCCTTATCATGGGGGCAATAGCTCAGTGTAAAGGATACGTAGAAAAGAAAATAGTCACCACTGCGAGCCGTATGTCCAATTCAAAGCCCACTGAAGGCAGCAGATAGGTATATTTTGTTTTGTCACTGGGTTGGCCCTGGGGGCAGAAATAACAGCCTCCTGATGGGCAGGAGTTATATATTCTACATCCCCAGGGGATGTTCCAGATTTTAGCAATGGGTAAAGAATTTGGGATTTCACACATTCTGTGTGTCCATACACCCACCCTTCTATAAAAATCAGGTAACGGGGAATTTGCAAAGTTACTAATGGGTGTAATGCATGTGAAGTACTTTAAGAATCTCTTGGCAAGAGGGGCTCTTAAAAAGAAAGATTTTGTATTATTCCAAGTGTATGTAAGAGAAAGTGGCTCCTAGGGAGACAAGAACTTCTTGAAGACCCTTAATTAATACTATTTTGGCATCCATAGCACTTCCCCTTCCTTTTAACAATTTGATGCCAAGAATTTCTCATTCCAGTAGTGTCCAATAAATCCTAGAAAATAAATTCCAGTGACCATTGGAGGTATCTGTGGTTGCTTGGTGGCTAAAGCAGCTAAAACCTTTTCGTTAGTTTTGAAATAGCTTTTCCTTTTAAAATGTATGGGGTTAACCCCTGAAACAAAGTGACTGATTCTCTTTCTCAGCAGCCAGAACGTCTTGCACCAGCACAGAACTATGCTGTGCTGGGGGTAAAATGATGGGTGTTTCAGTGCCAGGACATGTGTGAAGTTCCCCGTGAGATCAAACTCTACTCTGTGGCCCTTTGAATTGATCCTGATGCCGTGCATCAGCTTCAGCTTTGTAAGAGGGGTCAGTGGAGCTCAGCATGTGGTGTTTGACTATAGTGAGGGTGGCTGAAGTAGATTATCTGTATGGTGGTGGCCTGCCACTTAGGCTGAGTTTTTATTTGTGGTATACACCGTCTGCAGCGGGATGGGATTCAGTGATAGTTGGTACTCATCCAGGTAATTGTGCCTAGAGCTTCTGTGTGATTCTTTTGGTATGTGACTGTTACCCAGAAAACACACTCACTGTGCAGACATCCTGAATGTTTGAGATCTCTGAGATAAATGCAATTCCATTTCTGATTTATTTCACAAACTCTCTAAATCAATTTCAATGCATGTCTTAATATGTATATAATATATATAAACATATGAAAACATATGTGACATATAGAAAGACTCCATTGAAATATTTGGATTTAATAGCACTGAAAAACAAGGTCTTCACAGAGGCACAGATTGGACCTCTTCTTACCTCACTTTGCCATAAGCCAGCAGTAATTCTCCGATGCCAGGAGAATGACACGAGCATCGCATTATTGTGAGGTGTATCAGACCGAACATAGAAACACCGTGAAATGTGTCCCATCATTTTAGGGTGGAGAGGACTGTCAATAGTTGGTCTTGTTTCTACAGTGATTCATTACCACGTTAATTTTTTTTTTTAAGTTATTACTTACTTTTTACACTCCTACTACACAGTTTCTTTTGAGCCTTAACACATTAAAGTGAATGAATCCTTGTTATCTCCGTTAGGGAGATTAGCTATTTAGGTTATTATGGGTTTCCTGCTGTTCTAAAACTACAGAATGGCAAATTAGGAGCTCCTGATTTTGATTTGCAGATTGAGAGAGTGAAGATCCTATTGAGGTGAAGTACAAAAACTAGGTATTTACTGTTTATCAGGAAATGTTTAAATCACAGCAGGTTTCCCCTTAGAAAATCCAAGACAGATATAGATCTGAATGTTTCTTGTTACTGTTTGAACATGGCTCTCTATGTTGACTGTCTCATTAAATAGACTGGAAATTAAAAATTACTTTACATTTTTCTTGGTGTTCTTTTCCTTTCCCTGATTTAAGTGTTGTTTGTGTAAGTAGTTCTGGACACAAAAACATTCCTTTTTGTGGGTTGTTCTTCCAGCTTTTTGCCTGCATATTCTAACCGTATCATGACTGTGATATGATCAAACACAAGAAAGCAATCGTTGCTTAGTGGAAAGGTTGGACTAAGTGAACCATGGCAAGTTCAAGAGTTTCCTCAGCAGTGGGGTGACCAGCTCCATTGCACTACCTTCAAGAAGCCTGTTTATTAATGACCTGTATATTGCTCTCCTCAAACATGCAGCCATGTTCTTAATGAAAAAAATTCACATTTTTTCTGCTATTTTTATCCTTCCCCTACTCAGATCAGTCCCAGAATAATCATTAATACTGTACTATGTTTCACGTTACTTTTTTCTTTTCTTTTGCAGGCTCTGAGCAGCAGTCTGTACAAGAGTGCATCGCCTTATGGCTCTCTTAATAACATTGTGGATGGGTTAAGCTCCCTCACCGAGCATTTCTCTGACCTATCCCTTTCTTCAGAAGCCAGAAAACCCAGCAAGAGGCCACCTCCTAACTACCTGTGCCACCTCTGCTTTAACAAGGGACACTACATCAAAGACTGCCCACAGGTAAGAAATATATTCTGGAAAAATCTTCATGAAAATTTTCACTATTCCTTGATTTAGTAACACAGAATTTGACTGAAATAGTTCTTTAGAGTGCATAGCACTGAAGAAATATCTTGACAAAGTGCCAGGCTAGCCATGTGTTCTTTTAATATATTCTTTATCACAATGCTGGTGGAAAAAATATGCTATTTCATTTGCCTAATAAGAATTACAAAAAATACTAATCTACGCACATGATAAATAGATTTTAGAAACTTCAAAAATGGCTACTACGTAGTTTTCTATCACAGAGATTATGTAAAATATGTTTTCAAGCAGCACACTGTATAGTCAGTTTGGCAACGGCACTTAGTAAAAATGTAACAAGTTACATATGCTAAAGGAGAAGAAATTGTTACACTAGATGAGGACTTTCAATCAGTGTTGCAGTGACACAAGCTCCAAGTATATCTGGTGCAAAATGTCTTCCGTCTCATGGAAGAGGTTTGCTCTACTTGGCAAATGTGGCAGTCTTGGACTCCCAGAACTTTTTTGTAGTGGCAAAACTGGCAATACTTATTTCCTTAGAAAAGAGGTATAAGCCAGTGTGCACTAAAACCACTCTGCAATTTTTTTTCTGAGGCTCCAAGCCACAGTGTGCGAGATTTCTCCATCCTCTCAAGTTTCAGCTGGATGCAGGCGTGTTGCTGGCTTAAACTTTCACAACTCCAACAATATTCTATGTAGAGTCCCAAGGAAATTAAAGTGTCGTCAATACTCTAGAAACACAGATGCGGACATTACTGGCATCCACTTCACTATGGCTTTAACCTCCTACCCTCTTAATGTGTGGCTTTCAGCAGAATTAATCTGCATAGAATTAACTACAGTTAATTCACCGTTGAGGATGTCAGACATACATAAGCCAAAAGACAGGCGGAAAAGCATCTGCCAGCTGAGCAGGGTCAGCATGAAATCAAGTCTAATGTCAGATGAGCTTTAGCTGAGTGTATTCCTCCTGCTGTTACGCACTGACTAACCTGTTTTCTTCATGGACTTTAGCTGTATATCTTTCATTAACTCTAACGAAAACTGTGGAATTAAAGTACATTTGCAGTCTTGGGTGTGGCTGTTGAAAATATTTTTACTTCCTATTATTTCAGTATATGTTGAGTAAGGCAGTTTTCTTTAGGAAAAAAATATGAAATTTTCCTTGCTAGGAGATCAGAAATACTCTGGTTTGTATACTTCTGGTTTTAATGTACTTAGTTTAGCATGTTACAGCAAAATGTAGAGATAGGACCATGTAATAGCATACATTACTTAACAAGGGGATGAGAACTACAACTGCTAAATATGTGGCAGAGAGAAGTAGAGTGCTGAACTGTGGAAGATGGCTGTGCCGTGCTGTGTAAGAAACCAAATGAATGCAACAGGTCCCTTGACGATAAATAAGTGCAAGATGCAGCTCGCACAGATGGTCCCAAGTGAATGTATCAGAGTTGGAGCAGAAATGCATTATTTATTTCATAGGTATTTTTACAGTTTGAAGCACTAGAGATTAAAGAACAGTTAATGAATATTGAAGACATACCCACAGGAATCCAGAAGATGCAAACAAATTAAGGTTCCTGTAGGAAGACTAATTTACTTAAATTGGACATCCTATGTAATTTTTTTAAGATTCCACTAGTAATGTCTTCAATTTCTCTGTGAACCAGGAAAAAGACTTCCTACAGAGCGTACTCTGTGGCTGGCCTATGAGCTAGTAAGTAACGGGTAAAGGAACACAGGACTGGGAGGCATCTGCTTGCTCACTGCACACAGTCTTCTACAGTTACAGGCAACCGTATCATACAGTCCCTTTCGTAAACTGATCAGGTTTTAGTTGGCAAGCATTTCAGTATTTTGCCCTTGCTACTGCTGATGTGGGAAGCTGCTCCAGAACCTCAGCCCTCTCATAATTAGAAATCTTCCAATTTCCAGGATAAGTGTAACTCATACACTTTATAGTCACTTGTTCTCCTGCCAACATTGTCCTCCACTGAAATAGCTCTTCTCCCTCCCTAGTGTTTATCTCAGGATGTATTAATAGACTGCAATCATATCCTCTCTCAGCGTTCATTCTGTAGGACTAACGAGCCAGGTTTTCTCAGTCTCCTCACAAAACTCTATTCCCCAATCCTTCTCATGGCTGTCCTGTTGTGCTTTTCATCTCCTTGCGCATCCATGACTACATGTACATATGGCATCCCAGAACAGATCTCATCAGTGCCTTTTGCTGTGTGTGCACGTATCTGTTTCTACAGATCAAAGTTTATGTTACTTAAGGAACAGGCAATATGAAATTAGTTCTGCTTTATTGGAGATTTCTAACACAAGCGTTTTATGGTCTAGTCAACACGGAAGTGCTTTCTTGAAAAAGAGCAGACTTAAGCGTTCACAGAAACTTAAGCACTTCCCTTATTTTATCTAAATTTGAGGACAGATCCACAGGGGATAACCCTGTGTGCACAAGTTATGTTCAAAACATTGAAAACATTGTGCACAAGAAGGGAGCACCAACAGCAGGATCTGGCCTTTGTTAGAAAGGCCCTATTTGTTACCACTGCTTTTGACGATAACTGATTTCTTAATTTGAACATTATATGCACTACTTAATAGCTTAGATTTTGATGCTTTGTTTTTCTAGTGCTGTCAAAAAGGAAAGTTGTTTTGCAAATCCTACCAGAAAAAGGCTGTAGCTATGCTTTTTTAAAGTACTTAAATTTGGATAGCAAAAAGAGATAAACTAATCTGATTTGGACCAAATGAATATCAGTAAATCATACGGCATTTTTATTTTCTTTTTATGTAACTGCCTAATAAGAAACAGATTTTGAAATGGGGTGTTTTATGGAGTTTTTCTGCATAACAAAGAAATTGTGTAACAACTTTGAGACTTTATATCCTCCCTTAATTCTGCTTGTTATAAACACTGTAAAGACGTGTGTTCTGCTGCTGCTGCTGTAAAAGTTGATGGTATACCATACTAATGAAAATACATGTATTGGTTCAGATTTATATCTTAAGTGATGATCATATTCTAGGAGGTCAAATAATTATAAACAAAAAAGGCCAGCTTCAGTATTTGGGTACCTCAGGTATCTGCAGTTTGTCCAATATCCTGTCTAAAATTATCTGTTTGGAAATTGAAATGGGATTTAGCAAACTTCTATTATTTTAGCACGTCGTTTGTGTGATCTGTAGTGATAGAAAGTGTGTTTTCTGTTTTAGAAATTAGCAGAAATGAGAGCAATGTTATGACTGCAATTCATCATTTCCAATTGCCTACATTTGCAAAAACTCTTTGTCGCAATTATTGTGTGTATAAAAAACACAGCACTTTTTATCTTTAGTGTCATCTTTACGGCATACCTACATTTTCTCTGAACTAATTTTTGAGTTTCGGTGGCTTAGACGATAACACCTTACTCATACCTCTCTTTCACATACAGAACCTCATTGACTTGAATGAACTGAAAAATGTCTAGAGAATACAGGTTGAAAACAATGTATAGATTTGTCAAAACTTTGTTTACTTATTTGAGTACTCATAGGTACTGTGCCAGTGTACATCTTACATATGCATGATAACCATAGGTTTTCTTTCCCTTGCCAGGACAAATAATGATGAGCTCTGGGCCAGTAATAGATAAGATATATGTTTCTTTATGACATTTATTTATCTAGCAGATATAGAAACTCATAGAAGACCTTTTTTAAAAAGTTACATTGTCTCTTTTCACCCACTATCATAAAAATCTATATTTTTAAATCCTACAAAATATAAACATTGGGTTTGTTTGTACTATATTGCCTATACAAAATGAATCTTGCTCCTTTACAGTATAGGGATGTTATTGACATTACCACTCTTCCATGATGTCATCACCCTAAACTCAGACCTATCATATAGGTTTAATATGCAGAAAGTACAGGATAATGGGGTAGGGTGTTAGATACATTATAGATGGACGTTTGTGAATAAAACACCTAGTTTAGGTTCTAAGAAGTTGCTGAGTGATAGAACCTTTGGAATGGTTCAAAATCTTCTTCGGGAAGGAAGTATGTATTTCCTCATATCCTAGATCCTAGACCTCATTTATTGCATGTGTCATTCCTTTTGTTAATTTGGCCAGTAATGGATTAACAGCAAAGGCAGCAACAAAGTTTGTACTTGTAGGGGTCCAGCAAAGCACCTCTGTATTCAGAGTTTCCAAACTGCTCTACCTTGTGTTTCTGCCAAGCACCAGTTCCGTCTACTGGTCTCTCTGCCCCAACTTTATTCAAGTGCTGTCAAATTCTTCTGTGAAAATATGTGCAGGCCTTGTCACTCAAAAAATACATGGCTCCAGCCATGTTTTTCTGAATGCTGAACAAGGAGACTGCTCTGATCCCTGTGCCAGTGCCAAGCTCTCTAAAAAAACGTTCCTCACAATTCCTGTAAATTTCTACACAGGCAAGGAACTCTCATATCATTGAGACTTGGTGAAAAAAAAAAAACGGCCAAATATCACCATTCTGCAGTCAAATCCCTGGTGCACTACAACTATTTAGTCCAGTCCGTGGGAGATACAGAACTGTTACACAGGGTGTTTCCAATTTTACACTATACTCATAGAGGAAAATGCATGTGCGTGCTCATAGAAGTACAGACATACTACCACAGACGTATACGTAATGGGAAATAATATCAGCCTCATTTTGCACTGCATTTTTAAATCTGTGAATGAAATGTATGGCATGATCCATATTAATGAGGCCAACAGTGGGAGTCTTTCCATTGCCAACAGTGATCTTTGAAGCAGATCCTGTAAAACTGAAGTACCTTGAGAACACATATTCAAGTCAATGGAAGTAGTAGGTAATTACTGTGGCTGCTTGAGTTTGCATAGATTTGCTTTTGTGGTTTCATGCAGGATGTGGAAGAAATCAGTGTCAAGCTGAGTTTAGTCCTTTCTTCTTAGTCCATAGCTTGG